CACTCTGCTGGCTTGCCAATCTACGGGATCCATCAGGCCACCTCGCCCGCTGGAGTTTCCGCCTTCAAGAGTACGACATAACAGTGGTCTACCGATCAGGACATAAGCATATAGATGCTGACTGCCTGTCTCGTGCTCCTGTTTCCCCGACGTCATCTGACACTGAACAAGATTTACCGTTTCTTGGCATCGTCGATGTGGTGCGGATGGCTGAGCTTCAACGTGAGGACACTGAGCTACTACCTGTCATCCAGCATCTTCAAACAGAAAACGTTATCGTGCCACGCCGGTTCTCACGTGGATTAACATCGTATTGCCTGCGGAACAATGTTCTCTAGAAGAGAAATCTTGAGACCAGCCAGGAAACTTTTCTCCTACCCGTTCCAACGGCACTGCGTGAGGAAGTTTTGCAGGCGTGCCGCAACGATCCTTCGGCCGGTCACTTAGGCTTTGCTAGGACATTAGCGCGCATCCGACAAAAGTACTACTGGCCACAGCTGTATTCGTCCGTTCAGCGCTATGTCCGCACCTGCCGTGACTGTCAGAGGCGTAAAGTTCCACCCGCAAAGCCCGCCGGCTTCCTCAAACCTTTAGATCCACCTCTAGAACCATTTCAGCAAGTGGGAATGGATCTTCTTGGTGCATTTCCTACGTCAGCCTCAGAAAATAAGTGGATACTCGTCGCAACCGACTATCTGAGTCGCTATGCAAAAACCAAAGCTGTGCCTAGTGGAACTGTAGTTGAAGTCGCCAGATTCTTCGTCCATGACATTGTTTTGCATCATGGTGCACCTGCTGTTCTTATAACCGATTGCGGAGCAGAATTTACGGCACAGTTAGTGGAATAAGTCACCAAGCTGACGCACACCAACCACCGAAAACAACAGCTTATCATCCCCAAACGAACGGCTTGACGGAGCGGTTAAACAAAACACTGACCGACATGCTATCTATGTATGTTGATGTAGAGCACAAAACGTGGGATGAAATTTTGCCGTACGTCATGTTTGCTTATAATACCGCTGTGCAAGAGACCACACACCTAACACCTTTCGAGCTTGTTTTTGGTCACAACACAGTTAGACGCTAAGCTTCCCGTAGACCAGGAAACCAGCGGATATGACCGCGTCGACGACTTCGTTGAGAAAGCCGAGGAAGCCCGCCAGCTTGCACGGAACAGCATTCGCACGCAGCAAGATATCGACGCTCGCCGTAACAACCAAGGCCGAAGGAACGTCCACTATCAACCAGGTGACTATGTATGGGTGTGGACACCAGTTCGACATCGTGGGCTTTCGGAGAAGCTATTGCGACGCTACTTTGGCTGTTACGAAGTTGTGCGCTGCCTCAGTGACGTGAATTACGAGGTAGTTCTTCGAAAATCCGATACCAGTTTAAACCGAAAACGTCCACGTCCAGAAGTAGTCCATGTAGTAAGGATGAAACCGTAATACGCCCGCGAGGTATGAACACTTCGATCTTTTTCTTATTATGCACAACAGCGTGGGCATATGTTTTTTTTTTTTTTTCGTTGACGTGACCATCTTTTTTCATGGCCATTTCTAGCATCTTAGTCAATCGACCGGGACGGTCGCTCTTCAAAGGGGGGAATTGACGGAAGGTAGGCTGGCAACTATGGTGACCAGCCTCTGAGGAGGATAACGAAGTAGTTCTGCGGGCGCGTGCTCTCGTGCTCGTGCTTTTGGCATTTGGTCACGAAAGTAAACGCCCTGTTTTTGTGCCTGCGTCCGTGTACTTTTGTGACAATATCATCAATCGGTAGGGCCAATAGCAACACGCCTAGCTAATCGCATCAGCGTTTAATAAGTGCGTTCACACTTGCCGGAATTCACCGATAAGCTGCGTGACATCGAAACTTGAACCATAGCATCAATACAGGTGAAAAAGCGTGCAAGGTATTCAGGACGCCATTGCACAACATTTCCTTGTTTTTATTTAATTGTTTCATACTGACCTCATAATCCTACCTGCTAGCCTTTGCAAAACCTCAAAGGTTCTGACGACTCAGTTTCTTTTTATTTAACGTTTTCAAAGAGAGAAATACCCTAGCATGCGACCGTGTCGTGCGACGTAATAGAGTTTTGTACACACTTAACCACGAGCAGGTGAAGATTTTGGACATCCCGGTTTCGTAATGGGCGAAAGCGTTTCGTGGGGAAAAAATCAACACGACCCGGTACGCGAGCCTTTGGCCGCAATTTCGCGCAAGAAAAAAACAAAACGAGTGCAGAAAAAGAGCGAATAAGCGAGGAAAGACGAATAATGCGAAGGATATTCACGTTGAGTAAACCGACACGGGCATTTCGCCGCAGGAGATCTTTAAAGGTCTAAACCACGCCGTATTGCGCACTGAATTCATGTCTCATTTTGAACTTGAAACAGCCCTGTTGACATCTATCGAGTTCTCGTCCTCCTTTGAATCTTTCACCAATTTTACTGTTGAACAATGTGTACCGTGTGCATTTAATGTCTTTAGGTACAAGCGCTAGACCAGTATTCCCTTATAATACACAATGTCACAGTCATACCTCTTCATTATTGCATTTTGCTTTTTTGCATTAGCGGCTGGTCAACTTCTTTTCTTTTCTGTCGTTTTAAATGATTAGCAGCGTTGGAACAACACGTGTGTAAATAGGTTTATTGGCCGAACCAAACGGGCAGGTGGAAGATTCGAGATAGCGACAGGACGAGGAAGATGGAGGAGCTCGAGCGCCGACCTCGAGGTGCCTTACTCTGCGATGATGCTTGCTGTTCCCTTTTGTTGTCATCATTCCTTCATAATACGTGTATTTCTTTCCTACTTTTTGTTCTTCAAAGTGGGCCGGTGTTTTTTCCGCTTTTGTGGCAGTTGTCGGCGTGCTCCTTCTATATCTCCGTTATTTTCTAACATATAGAAAGGGCAGCAGGGTAGGATAAAATGTACACACCAGCTATCCTCTTAACATGGTAGTAGCAGTATTTTTGAAAAAAAATTACACCATCTTCCACTTAAGGAAACCATGTTTAGATGCAGAGCAGCGGTACTAACGCTTACACAGCCAGCGCTGTTGACGCTGACGCTCACCGCGGCGCTGCCCGGAGAGAAGCCTGGGGATGCGCGAAGCGTGCAGGTATAGACTGGTGTTTCCTAGTGGAACATCCAATCGCTGCTAACGGGCATTGTTAGACAGAACGCTCCAATTACATATAGAAACTCCCTGTCCGCATTTAATTCAACGCGCACGCTGCGAATTTTTATCGTTCAACAACGCGCATGAGAAATCTCCTGCCGGCCCTACCTTGGAGGCCAAAATCCAGCGCCCATATAAAGGGAGAGGAGGAGTGGCCAGTGAACGGCTGTGCAGCGCGAGCAGTCGTATCTTCAAACATGAAACTCGCTAGCAGACGCTGCCTGCATCGGCATCGTGAGGCGAGAGATGGAAGCGTAGGAGAGTGGGAGGAGACGCGCATGCGCAATGTGGGTGTGAATGCCGCGAGCAGGAACGCCTAGACGGGGGAGAGAATGAAGCTTAGGAGAGCTTACCGCGCACGCATGCGCAGTAGAGGTGGTCAAGCCTTACACCGGATTGAGCTCGATCAATGATGCTTCACATCTAAAATACCGAAAAGAGGAGAAAAAAACCAAATAAAGAATCGGAAACGAGAAAAGTAATCAATAGCACTATGTACATTTACTATATGTGGCCTATTAAAAAATTAGCATAGTATGGGCACCGTCAGAGGGTGATCGCATTTGTAGGTTACCACGAATAGAGTCCGTATACAGACCATGCCCTTATACATGAAAGGCATAACTATAAAATACGTTCGTTGACAACACATTACTGTAAAAAGAAGCAGTAAGGACTAGTGAAACAGTTTATTCAATTTGTTTTTATATATAAATGAATAAAGCTGAGGAAGTGTCGACCATAAAACTCCCGATTACTATAAGGGTGCTACCTTTTTGGTATACGTCATACTGGGAACGCAGGCAACGACTGCGCGTCCTGTTTCACCTGTAGAGCAGCTCTCCATTGCGGAGATGGAGAGCTCATTTGAATATAGAGGTGCGCGTTAAACAAGCCCCGACTCTCAGAACTAATAGTGGCTTTGCCAGTAGACCATCCTTGTGAATCATATCGTGGCTTTCGCTCTTAATAACCACAGAATTTTTATTTATTTATTTATTTATTTATTTATTTATTTATTTATTTATTTATTTATTTATTTATTTATTTATTTATTTATTTATTTATTGGGTTAGTGCTAGGCTGTGCTTCAACCTGTAACGCAGTGGCCGTCCACCTTCCGTTACAAACATCCAGGCTGAGAAAGTAAAAATGTATTACGCATATATCAGTTATCTCTCATCGTTTCACTGATTGGCGCCACTATGTTTTTACAACGAACCGAAACTGAAGACGACGAAGCTTCATTACTTTTGGCTCGTGCACACGCGCACAAAACTTCTTTCTTAGCAAGTGCAGAAGAAGAGAAGGACGCCGCCGCTCGAGCGCGAGTCCACCGCGTCCGACACAGTTCTTTTCCAGTTTGTGTCCACCTTTTGTCGGTACGAGAGACGAGACCTCGGCGTTGCTCGAAACTACAGGTACGTCATCACCGAGTCATCTACAAGTCGATAGCGTCCAAGATCCCAGATACTTTTAGTCGCTCCTCACAGCTATACCTTTCTCGCCGCTGTAGCCAGACAGTTTTCGAACGTCTACAACTGCGTGTACAGTGGTAAAGTTACCCACAGTTCTTCTTCCTCCTAATCCTTGTTGCTCGGCGTTCTCGTTTTGTTAAACTCGCGCCAAGGCAGCGTCTTGGTTTCTAACGCTGCATCGTACTTTCTTTCTTTTCTTGGTTACTCGGGAGGACTTGGTCAAGTGCTAGCTTGTCTTACGTATTTCTTGCACCTCCAAATAGTTCACGATACGCACGTGTGTGGCCTTGCTGTGTCACTAAATATATTATATTTCTCTTTTGTTCCACAGATAATCGGTACTGGACCGGGAAGCTATGAGTAAGGTAAGAAGTCCCAACTTAATATTTCAACTTCATAACATCTCGTCTAACTAAGACAGCGGTCACTCCTCGACCGTGCTGTATTAGTTTGCAGCACGAATAGACGTGCGAGAGAGGAGAAATATTTGGTGTAGAAATAGGGAGCCGATTAAGTACTGAATTTTATTTTGATGATAGTTGCAGAGTCACGGAACTCTCAATGGCGCACATAATACTTTTACAGCTTTCAAGTGAAAATTCGCTCGAGGCGTACCATCAAGAGTCGCAATAATTTTGAGTTATTCGTCGGGGTAACGGGTTAAGCTGTAGTAGTCTGTCCATATATACGCGAAGCAATGTCATCTTACTAACAAAAACGGAAAGAGATTGCTACGCGTGAGTTCAACTCGTATAATAATAATAATAATAATAATAATAATAATAATAATAATAATAATAATAATAACGGTTGAGTCTTAAAATCAAGACATGATTCTGAGAAACGCTGTAGTGGAGGGCTCCAGAAATTTCAACCACTCGAGGTTATTTAACGTGCGCCTAAATCTAAGCGCATGGGCCTCTAGCATTCTCGCCTATACAGCGAGAATGCTTCCATACTGACTCCTGGTCCAATTTTCGCTCACATTTGCTCTTGGGAACGGTTCCAAAGCAGGAAATGTGTGTGTGGGGGGGGGGGGGGGGTGCGTGCGCGTGTGTGTGTGTTGTGTATGTATGTGTGTGCGTGTGTGTTGTGCGTGTGGGTGTGCGTGTGTGTGTATGTGTGTGCGTGCGTGTGTGTGTTGTGTGTGTATGTGTGTGTGCGTGCGTGCGTTGTGTGTGCATGTATGTGCGTGCGAGTGCGTGTGTGTGTTTGCGTACGTGCGTGCGTGTGTATGTGTGTGCGTGCGTTGTGTGTGTATGTGTGTGCGTGCGTGCGAGTGTGCGTTTGTGTGTTCGCGTACGTGCGTGTGTGTGTATGTGTGTGCGTGCGTGTGTGTGTTGTGTGTACGTGTCTGCGTGCGTGCGTGCGTTGTGTGTGTATGTGTGTGCGTGCGAGAGTGTGTGTGTGTTTGCGTACGTGCGCGTGTGTGTATATGTGTGCGTGCGTGTGTGCTGTGTGTGTATGTCTGTGCGTGCGTGCGTTGTGTGTGTATGTGTGTGCGTGCGTGCGAGTGTGTGTGTGTGTGTTTGCGTACGTGCGTGTGTGTGTATGTGTCTGCGTGCGTGCGTGCGTGCGTTGTGTGTATGTGTGTGCGTACGTGCGAGTGTGTGTGTGTGTTTGCGTACGTGCGCGTGTGTGTGTGTGCGTACGTGCGCGTGTGTGTGTGTGTTTGCGTACGTGCGTGTGTATGTGTGCGTGCGAGTGTGTGTTGTGTGTATGTGTGTGCATGCATGCGTGCGTGCGTATGAGTCAGTGAATGACCGAGCGAGTGAGTGAGCGAGCGAGCGAGTGAGCAAAGGGTGCGTCTGTGCATGTGTCCCATGCAAAAACACGGCAGCAGACATAATGCATCCATGTGCCAGAGATTTCTCAACAGACTACTTCGCTTTGGAAAAAAACGCGTTTTTATGCAGAACTTTCCGAGGATCGGGAAAATTCACGATGTTATTAACTAATGCTCCCAATCACGGTGTTATTAACTAATGCTCCTTTAAATATTCGTGGCTGAGAATTTTACTTTCGCTTGGAGCAGTTTTTTGAAAACGCGAAACGAAAGAGGAGCAGTAGACGTGTGAACGGCGCCAATCCTGCGTGCAAATGTCCGTTGTCCTCTGTTGTAGCTGCGCTGTTTAAACTTTTAGATAATCACAGCAAATTTACAACACATAGAGCATACTCCTCAGTCAACTCCACGATCGCACAATCGACGCCCTCGCCTCAACTAACGTACGATTTTCCGAGGTAGTTCCGTGCTTGGTGCTCTGGAAAGGCTCTCTCATCAACTACACAGATGAATCCACTAGAGATCGTCCACGCATGCTAGTTGAACTGAGCGTCAGCCCAACTAGCAGCACTGTACGCCACATTCTGCCTGCGACATATGCTGAGTAGAGAGAGGAGGGTGGTATAAGCACGACCGAATCGAAATTCAGACGGCGTCTGATGCGTGTGAATAAGTCATGCACCGCGCCGCGCCCAGCCGCTAACTCTGTGTGCAAGTGAGCAACCGAGAGCCTACCGACAGAGGCGACCCGCTCACTCGAGCTCGCTAGTGAACGCGCACTAGATGCACCAGCAAGCAACGGGTTGCACCGCCCTCAGAGTCGGACACCCCTGGTAACCAATCCCCCCCCCCCCTCCCCGCCCGCCTGTCCCTCCTCCGCCAGGCCCTGACTCGAAAAGCACGGTGAAATCACGAAAGGTATGGGCCGTGCTTAGAAACGCTGCGGTTATACATGCACTGCGTTGCACGTACTGCCGCTATGCTGCTGCCACGCACGCCTCAACGATTCCGTGCAGCGCAGCAGAGTCTGAAACATCATGTCGGCTAGTGACGAGAGAGGGCTGCGTGTTTCTCTGAAGGTATTGGCGTTATAAGGATAACCACAATACTGCCATTGTATAAAAATAAGCTAGAAGCAGTTACCGACTGCATGCGAACGTAACTTTGCTATTATACCAGCTGATAGACAGCATCAGTCTATGAGCGGATGTATAGTATGCCAGCTTAAATGATAGTTGATGTGACGCAAATTATTGTTACACTCCGTTAACACTGCACTGCCTTCAAGATCAGCCCAGATTCTGCCTTGAGAATCGGAAATCGTCGCTCCCTCTTTCAGGGTGAGGCTGAAAGGGCGATGGGAAGAAAATGCGATTATTACTTTTTTTTTACAATCCAGAGTGACACATCCCTAGATCTGTAAGGACAGATCCACGTTAAATTATGGAATGCTAAAAAAAGGTAAAAGTAGAGACAGCAGCAATACTGAGATAATACGAAATGATCGCATATAATATGGCCCAATACGAAATTGCAAAGTACTTTGAGTGATCATCAACGCGAACAAACGAACGGAGAAAACAAACCACCTTGAAGTGGCGGTCTTCTACACATGAAAAAAAGAACACTAATGGGGTGTGTAAATTGTTTAATGGTGGACTAAAATTTGAAGCTATTTGACGAATAGTTCTTGTGATTAGCTGACAGCTCGACAAAAAGTGTGACTGAAAGTAGAACAGCCAAGTACAAGCGCCTTCTCGCTACTCAAGTTCTAATTAATGGAAAAACACGGTGGTAGAAGGGAGCAAAGTGAATGCAAATCAAATGTTTGCTCTTCCATAGGAGAGTATACACGTCGACGCCGCTTTTCGTAGCGAGAGCTACATTGCGCGTATTTTCGCCGTCTCGCTGTGACCGGTGGCCGCACGCCACGAACTAAGCCGTTGCATAGCAACCACTGAAGCTAGCAGTGCCGCTTGTCGCGCCCTCTGGCATGACATCAAAGGAGGAGCCAAAGTAATCGCGTTGCAACAACAGAGGAGTGGTCGGCGTTGCATCTTAGGGGCGGCTGAGTGGAATTCGTTGCCAGATATAAAATGTGAGTAGGAGAGATTGAAAAAAACCAGGCTTCGTCGTCGGAACGAAATCAAGAGGAGGCAGTGAGCCGAGGAGACCGATGTAGAACGAGCCGCAGGCCTCATGAAGCATAACCGTACAGAGAACAAAGCTAAACAATAAGATAATCGCAGCTCTCACTACGCAAACTAAGGCATAACTGATTGAAGCCACTGTATTTTTTTTTTTTGCAGCAAAGCTGTGCACGGTACGGAAAAACCAAAACTTGTCCTTCATACGTACTAGAAAACACCTATAGCGGGTCTGTGCCGCTGTAACCTGGCAACCGCACTAATCACAGCTGGTCCACTAAAAATTAAGAAAAAAAAACACGGGTGACAAACACCATTTAGGATTTTTGGACGGACGTAACCAATAGTGGAGTAGTACTTTCATGTACAGCTAGGATTACCACAGTTATTACATCGGGGCCACACGTTTCAGCTTCGCTCTAAACGACCGGAGTACTTAAGCGGTGATGTTTGTTCTTGCTGCTTATTCCGATTTGGAACAGCTTGCTGACGTCCCACAGAGTAGGTGCTTATACTACACTAAATGGTTAATACCACGGGAGTAATTAATTTGCTCACAGACAGATTTGTGTTGTGTAGGGTGCTCTGGAGTAAAATATCTGAGTAAAGAACGTCGTTCTCATCGAGAACATGAGAGACAAGGAGTAATAACGTTTCACACCGCATATCTCACTCGTCTTGCTTGTCTAGACAGCCCCCGCTTAAGTGCGCCGCAACATGCACCAACTTGTCAGCATATACCTCATTTGGAACGCACCACAGATACTTTTCGTGTGTCTTATCATTCAGTCAGCAGTAGGGCCATCAGAGGCGGACAGCAGGACAAGCAGAGGTGTAGCTGGGATTTCGGAGGACCATACAGGGGGGGAAGGGATGTTAAGCGCGAGTCATATGACCACTTACCCACCTCCCTCTCTACGCCCTTTTTATGTATGTTATTGTCTGTGGAAACATTTTGTATAAAGCACAAGAAAATATACATGCACATAAGTGGACGCCTGCGCTTTGTTTCTCGACCTATGTATATGTCTATTTTCTTTCACCTTTAATGTCCTAAAAGCATCCATCATATCGACCTGCACCTTTACCGCAGTGGCGTAGCGGTCACGGTACTCGGCGGCAGATTCGAGGGTCGCGGGTTCGATTCCAGCCGCCGCGGCCGCACTTTGATCAACGTGCAATTCTTGAGGCCCGTGTACTGAGCTATGTCAGTGCACTTTATGGGACACCTTTTTTTTAATATCCAGAAGCCTCCGCTAGGGCGTCTTCCATAAATATATCTGGGGTTTTGAGACGTAAACCCCAGATATCGCTCTTCTTATCGCCCTACATCAAAAGTTGCAAGGCTGTTTGTGTGCTTGTTCGTAATATGATGATAAATTGCAATGATTTCAGGAACTATTAATAACATCGTTCCACCCACCCCCTTCTA